AAACTATGAAGGCCAGTTGAGGTTGCGGAGCTTTGTGCTTTGGGTGGATTGTGCTGTGCTGACGCAGCCCTGACGGCCAGGTGATTGGGCCTCCCTTGCACTGGAGCAGTCGGTGGTACAGTACTCCACCCACCCATGCAGCCCCTGCAGGGGTGTGTATGCAAGCGAGTGCTGTGCAGGCATCTCATGGATGAGAGGCATGACAGGCGTGTGGCTAGAGGGTCGCATGGTTCCATTGTGCATAGTTAACTTGTGCGAGTGGGCGCCCTGAGGGCGTGCGTCGGGTTGAATACCACCATTCTACACGTCCGCCGCGCCTTCACCCCCGCTGATGTGGTATGTCACGCTCAGCCGCGCCACCACGCGCGACAACCTGTACACTACACATTGCGAGCTGACGCCGGCCGATTTGAAGCAAGTGCATGAGGCCGCTTTTGCCGCCGACGCGGCCGCCGCGCAGGCTGCATGCCCCTGACACAAGTGCATCGCCTCCCGACCCTTGCCTGCCGAGCGCAATGCTCAGAGCATCGCGGCATCATGCATCCCCCTCAAGCACCTGCCTGCTGGCAGCGCGAATGCATGGCTAGGTGACCATATACAGCACAAGTGAACGCGGCGTGGCTGGTGCTGTTGTGCGGGCTCCCGCTCAGCATTGTGCGAAGCATTCAACAGTGTCACATACAATGCGCAAAGCCAGGCTTTGACAAGGGGGCGTTGGCTGCCAGGGCCGTTGCACATTGGGGCAAGTGTGCTGAGCGAGCCGCTGCCAAAAGCGGCCTGGTCGCTACCGTTTCTGTAGCAGCTTATCAATATCATATTTTCAACCATAACAGCAATATGGAGGGCGGGCATCGTGCTGTATAAACCAGAGTTGAACCTTGCGAAATAGGGCGGTCCCATTACCGGGTGTTGAAGTGGATCTAACGGGCTTATAACATCATATATTCTACTATATGAGCCACAAGGAGGCCGAGGGTCGTGTTGACGGAGGTGCGGATACATGCGGGCCCTCAAACACGCACTTCCCTGCCTGTGAGTGCCCTAGAAAGCGCTTTTCATATATTACAAGCTCAATGGGCGCGGCGGTCCGAGCTCCAGTGCCCTCCCTGAGTAACCAGCACTCGGGGCGCGGTGCCCGGTTGGGTCGCCCATAAGGCCCAGGCCATGAGTCATGCTGTGCTCTTGGTTGACTGGCCAAAGTCTCAACTGGCAATCA